GAGGTCATAATCTACTCTTACTAGGAATTTGAAACCGTGTCAGTGTCTGTGATATGCTTAAGCTCTTTCGTTGACTAATAATCATTAATTTAAGCGATAAGTGCATTAGAAGTTCTAAAACTTGTCACAAAAGTGCAATTGAGTCCTAAAACTTTGAAAAAGTGGAATCAAGACATAAAACTTGTTACAAAAGTGCAATCGAGTCTTAAAATTTTCAAAAAAGTGTAATCAACCAAAAGACTTGATTGGACTAATTTGATGTTGATTGCACTTTTTGAAAATTTTAGGATTTGATTGCACTTTCGTGACAAGTTTTAGGACTTCATTGCACTTTTTGAAAGTTTTACGAATTGATTGCACTTTTTGAAAGTTTTAGGATTCAATTGCAATTTTATAACAAGTTTTAAGACTTCCAATGCGTTAATCCCATAATTTAAAGAAAAATTAATAGAAAATTTGACATATTCTTCCTTGGGTGCAATCCTTATGCAGCGCAAGATATTACATTACAACAAGAGCACAAAATAGTCACCACATATATAGTTTTTCATTTTTTAGTAATGACAATTTCATTCACTATATTAGTATATAGAATTTGTAAGATTGCTTATTTCCATCATCTTACTATTGTGTAACGCAAAGAGGATCTCAAACTTTTAAGGGATCACAATATTTTTTTTCTTTCCCAAAATATCCTCAATTAGTTATTTTATGAATATTCTATCGACGGACAAGAGTAACTTAACATTTTTTTTTTGTTTTATCTCTAATGTACTCCAGTTTTAAAATTTGAATATTTTTTATCTAATAGAAAAGTTTAAAGAAAAAATTTTCCAATCTTGAAATATTTTCTCTTTTCACATACATGTGTCAATAATTACTTTATACTATTTAGTAATTCAAAAATCTCATAATAAAGCGCAATATCTTTTACATGTTAAATTTGCATAGTCGCAACATATGCACTTTTGCTCGTATATATAGAAAACTCAAAGCTTCCTTGTCAAACTCAAACTTTTTTTGTTTAAGATACCATGCTTCCTTTAAAATTAATCACAATAGCCAATCGCCAATTCATTAGAAATTATTTGGTGAACATAATTTACACACTAAACTAAATTTGAATCTTTCATTTGATTGATCCCACAAACATCCCAACGGATTTTACTGTTCTGCACCGATGAGTTACCTCACTAGATGTTCCTGAGTGGCAAAGAAAAGACTTTTACAGTTATACTTTTTAACCCTTTTTAGCCTTGAGATTACTCTCGTGGCAAACTCTACTATATCTTAGGCCAATTTGCAGCAAACTTGGGTGGCGCAGCTTTTTTCCCCTTTTTTTGAAATAGCGATCAAACAATATCTCGAATTAGTTTTCATGCATTAGACTAAGTCTACCTCTCCAATCTGGTAAAAAAAAAAACAGGCCATCCACGACGAGACTAGAGGATTCATAAGAAATTACTTTCTTATAACCTGACTCCATGTGAGTGCACCGAGCAAGAAACGAACTTGAGACTCCACATTTGAGATTCAAGATGACTATCTCCGTGGGTTAGCATGTGGTTTAATTTCATGCAAAAAGAGGTTGTTAACATGCGGGAAGATTTTGACATCTATCCGATAGAAATGCTTGGTACTTTTATAATTTTTGGTTCATTATTCTTCATTTTTTTTCTTGTCTTGGTCATTTATGAGGCCAATTAATCATTAATTCCCATCACACAAATAAATTCACCATAAGCCGAGCCACTAGGGTTTCGAGTTTTGTTTTCTATTTCTTTTCTAATAAATTGAACTCCATGCCTTCACCTTATTCAAGGCGCCCTTGCAAGTGATTTTTTTTTCAAAAAATGCGTTATCGGGTTTTTCAAATAATTGATAATTGAGTAGCTAATAATCGCACGTATCGAATACTTAGATTAAACCTCATGAATAAATGTAGGATTATGTGAGAATACTTATTGGAGATTAATAAAGGCATCTCATTGTTCAAAAGATACAAATTGCATATCATCATTGTCAACGTTAAAATTACCTTATCATCGTTGCAAAAATCTTTAGACAAAATATATACTAAAGATTATTTTCTTCATGATTTAAGTTAGAGATTATCATCTAAACAATTGTATGCCGTCGAACCTTGAAACTAGCGTGACATCGCCCCAAAAATTGTTGAAACAAAACAGATTAAAATTGTTACTTTCAATTATACTACTCTACTATTCTATCAAACAGATTAATATAGGTACTTAGGAACTAACATCACATAAATTACATGGATGGAAGCTATTCGGCTTGTTCATATGCTCTAAGACAATTCGTTTAATTAAGAAGAACGTAATCCCATTGCCTTTTCCTTCGCGACATACGCTTGGCCTCTTCATGCTCTGCCTTCGCCTGATGGAGAACCTCAGCGAAATCCTCTTGCAAACAAAGTAGCTTGACATGATCACCCTCCGAAACCATCTCATCTCGAAGCAAATCTTGGAAACTTTGGCATTCCAAGAATTCCAGAGGAACCTCGTAACGTACCTCCTCTTCGCCCACATATATGGCAAAACATCGTCTTGGAGCCAATCTTGGCGATTTGTGCTTCAACCTTTCGATGATCAAGTGGAGCTTTCTTGTAACCCTCGCCATTGAACACTTCTTTTTATTTTTCTTTTCTTCTTTGGAATTGCTTGGAACTTTAGTGCGATCACAATGCAAGAGATCTATATATATATTAAAGTGTACTGGTGGGTTACTATTCCTAGTAGAAGTAGTAAGGAGTAATCTATCGCCTTATCGACTGAAAGGCTTAAAAAGATATGGTTGATATATTCTATCTAGAATTTGAAATAAATAATGGTTCATGATATGGATATACGTTCATTCATCTCTCATTTTGATGACAACAAAAGAAGAATAATGCTTGCAAAAAAAAAAAAAAAAAAAATGTGTAACGCCAAATTCTTGATTTGATCCAACCCAAGTAGCTAAGTTAGTTTACTCATGGAGCATTTGATGATATTTATTTTAAAGATAAGTATATGATGATCATGATGTGGTCTTTCATGGTATCCGAAACCATTGTAAAGAGTTTTCTCAAACAAATGTTGATTTAGGTTAAACACGTGATCTCTTATTTTGGAGAAATTCTATTATTCTTATACGCAACACTTACATTAATTTATTGGGAAAATACTACCGAAAACTCTAAACTATGATCACTGTGATATCAATACCCAAAACTTTTTTTTGACTCTAAAACCTCCAAACTTGTACCAGTGTACTAAAAATACCCTCTGTCTACCATAAAAGATCATAAGCTTTGCCAACTGTTATACTAATACCGACATTTTTTTTTGCGTGTCACCAGAAGCCCAAACTTGTACTAGTATGATGCCTCCTCTCTTCGCCTGCTTAATAGTTTCATCGCTCGAGCGCGCTCCTTGTTCACAGTTCACAATTCTCTCCAATTACAAAAATGGTCCCTATACTCATTATGAAAAAGACTATGGCGATAGAGCAAATTCGTCACTTAAACTCGGTATTAAGTTGCAGAGACTTTGACGACACTTCCCGCTAATTCCTAAGATTTAGATTTTCTATCGACCTGGAAAAGGTAGATGACGATACTTAGAAAATGAATGTTAATTAGAATATTATAATCTATAATAGAAAATACCAGGAATTCAAGGTGATAGATAAATTAGTGTATCGACTGTAGATGTTACACGTATAAGAGGTGAGCATCCGTTGGACGTGATCCAAAATAATGATAACAAACCAATCAAAATTGGTAAATTTCAAAGAGCTATACGAGCAGAACGGTGGCCGACATCCATCCAAGAGAAAAATTACCTAATATTCATAAACATGTCGTATGAATGCCAATTCAACGTAAAAGTTTAGGATTAAATTATCAAAATTAAAAGTTTAGGATTGGATTGGCAACCGTGTAATATATTTAGAACTTATTAGATAATTTTTCCTCAATCCATGATTACAAGTAACGGTGTTATTTCAATCACTAAATCCATTTAAGAGGAAACAACACTAATAAGGAAATAATGGATAGGAAAGTTGCAGGAAATAATGGGTAAATAAGTCTATTATTGGAGGTCCACTCATAATGTATCTTTCTTAAAATTGGCGCCAATCCAATGGTCTTCTGGTCAATAATCATACTAATCTTTTACGAGATCTTTCATTTTGTTGATTATTAAGTATTTTTATTTAACACTGATTTAACCAGAAAATAAATTTAAGAGTAGCTAGATGAGGCCTTTTCTATTTATAATCTAAGGGCACGATCCTAACTATCCGGAAGACACGAAATACCTTACTAGTTCCATTAACCTGTCTAGATGAGATTTTTGGCTTTTATAGGTGGCTCCGACCTAGAACAGTTTCGCGAGCAGTTAGTGAAAGTTGAACGGTCGATCTCCAATTTTCGAGTCGAAAATCCCTGACGCTCCAACCGACTGCATGAGCATGAAGCTGAAGGCATCCGACATAAACTATGCACCACTTCTATTAGCAAATCTGTGGTTGAAAGCGAATAACAATACTGTCACATAAGCATTATACTTGTATGAATCCGAAATGAAAAATGACACAAACTGTTCTTGAACTTTGATCTAATGTGTAATATGATCCATAAATTAGTCCCTGAACTTTTGGTAGATATTTAATTTAATCTCTCAACTATATGAAAATATTCAACGTAATCCTTCTATCAATTCAAGTTCAGAGACTAGATTGAATATTTCATATAGTTCATGAGTTATATTGAATATGTATCAAAAGTTCATTGACCATGCTAAATAAATTAAAAATTTAGCGAGATTGAGTATTAAATTAAAGTTAATGAAAGATTCATAGACTATTTATATCATTTTGCCAATTCAAAATTAACGAAATGTACACCGAACAAGAGATGTCCGCTGTGATCCGTGCATCGAGCACTTTCCACCTTTTGCCCCGCACGCCTCCTCTCCCTCTCCTCTCTCTCTCTCTCTCTCGTCCAAAAAGTGTGTCCGGACGCTGAAAGTTGTCGTCCACCTAACCTTCAAACTCTCCGTGGATCGCTCCACCCTTCGGAAACGGTCGTGGGGTCATCGCCGCCGACAGACCCTTTTTGCTTCCCCTGTTTCTCTTCTTCCCTCGCTCCCCCTCCATTCTTAATATTCACGAATTCGACGAGGAACGCAGCCCAAAACAAACAAACACACGCCCCCACGCACTTCTTTAAATATATAAATTGAACCCACAGAAAGAAAAGAAAAACGAAAGAAATCAGGTCGTTTCAAGAATTCGCAGGAGGAAGGAAATCCATCACCTGATTTCGTTTCCAAGAAGACGCGCATCACATAACGCCTTGTAGAAGCAAGAAAGCATCGTGAATAGAGAGAAGAGAGAAATAATGAATGCGTTGAAGGAGAGGGTCTCGGAGAAGCTCTCGCGTCTCTTTGTTGATTCCCCAGATTCTTCTTCTTCTCCCTCTCCGTCTTTGAAATTTAGCGACCATTCGAACCTATCCCAGGTAACTTTTCTTTGTTTTTGCCTTTTCATATGGGCATCTGCGTTTTGTGTCCGTGCACTTGTTGGCATCATTAGTTTGATGGGTTTTGCTTGATTTTTTATTGGGATTGGTGGTTGATCGCGTTCCTGGGATCTTTATGTCTGCGGGGTGTAGAAAATGTGTGGGTGTGAAAGTAGGGTCTTGATTGTCGTATAGACAGTTTGGGATGCTATCAATGGGTCAGAAGTTCTTGTGAGATTAAGAATTGGTGTTTTTGGAAGGTGAGTGAGATCGTGTGAACCGGGTGGAGGGGGATTCAATGGAATAAAATGGGGCTTGATCTGCGTGTTGTGGATGTTAGGGCATCGGCGGTTAAGTCCCGGATCAGACAGTTGATGCTTAAGTCGAATAGGAAAGGGTGTATGATAGTGAATATAAGGGCGTGATAAGTGTTTGGCTTAGTGAACTTAACTGGGCCGAGGTTGCTAACCAATACTTATGATGAACCAAGGAGCCGCTGTTGAGCAGTGGCATTGGACTGTGAATGTGGTCTGTGGATTCTGAGCTGACAGGTGTGGCTGTTGTCACTTGGTGGATAATGAATCAATCCAGGATTCATAACTTGCTTGACCTGGCACCGAAGTTCTGACCTGGACAATCCAGGTCTGTCAAGGGCCCTATCCCAGTTTAGGCTGGTATCGGGTTGAGTGCTCGCTTTTTTCTCATTTGATCTGAATTGTGCTTCGTCCTCAGCCTATCTGGAGTAGACACCCTGAGCAACAATTGGTATGGAGAAATGGATTGAGGTCCGAAAAGAGGAAAATATAGGATGGACAAAGGAGCGTAAATTGGATATTTCAGTTTTCATAGCTGGTTATGATATTGGAGTGACATGAGAATTCATGAGTCAACTTGAGAACGCGTTTCCCATTCAATGTGCATTCCTATTTAAATGTTATGACGACATGTAGGAATGGTTTGTCGCTGTATAGTTGGATTGTGCCTGTTGATCTTAGCTGAAATTGGGCTAAATCACCAGTAATGTTGATTCCACTCTAGCCCTCTTCCTTTCTAGAAATGTTCACGCTTCCCTTCATTCTAATGGACTGGTCAAACATCAGAGACAACGACTTGGAGTAAAGGCACCACTGTCACCCTCAAAGTGATGGGCCTGTCAAAAATCATGGATCTTTTGAAATTTAGTGGCTGTGCCAGTTGATCTTTAGCTCAAATTGGCCTAACTACTTCATTCAATCTTTCTATTTTGTGTTAAAATCAAGAACTACTTTCTTTGTACTTCTTAGCTGGCTTACATTCCTTTTCTGTGCAATGACATTCTTCTTAAGGAGTGCACCCTGCTATACTGTGCCAATGATTTACCTATTTATAGATGCTCTGTGTCGCATTGCCTGTCATTCTTGTCCTCGTGCTCCAATTAATATTATTATTGAAAAGGCATAGGCCTTAAGTAACTTGGCTCTCTATTATAGTGATGATAATAGGCTTCTAGTTTAGCTTAGTCATTAAGAAAAACATTCATGAGGCGTCACAAAGGCCACGCATATTCGTCCTCCTCTTTACTTTTTCTCATCTTTTTTCTGACCAGGGGGATGCATGATCTGTTACTTGTCGTATATTCTAATTTCTGACTATTGACTCAAGGTTTGTACACTCAATTTACTTCTTGTGTAGGCCAGGCTGAGTTCTAAAGAAGGAAAGTCTTTCTCTTCGTATTTTTCTTATCTCGTTCCAACGAGCAGATTTGATGGACTCAGATCAAAAAAGTGTGAGCAGGACGTTGAACTATATCAATCGCTTCCTGCTGAGTGCAATGAGGAAAAACCTGAATGGCAAGATGTATCTTCAGAAGGTTTCGTAGAATTTACTCTAGACAAAAGCAAAGCAACAGCTGATAGCCGTGAAAATTCAAAAAAATGTGCTTCAGTCTGTGGGAACGGGAAATCGCTAAGTACAAAGGAAGAAGATGAAGGAAGTACCAGTGGTTCTGACTTGTTTGAAGAGGCAACTGACAAGCATAACTCAGACAAGCCTCTTCAAAATCTCATGGACAATTCCGTTTTTATCTCCCCTGATCTATATGAATTTTTGCACTCATCCCTTCCAAATCTTGTGAAACATCGCCAATGGGTCTTGCTATACAGGTCAGTCTCTTTGTTATCTTGCTGTAGAGAACCCTGACACATTGTGCGTAGTGGTTCTTCCATATCGCTTTACCAAGCTAAATGTCTCATATAAACTTTTGACACAAATGTCCATGTTTTGAAAATTTTAATTTGATAGTTATCGTTTTAAATGAAGGGCAGTACGCTGAGACATGGTATCTCACTGCGTACACTTATCCGCAAGAGTGCTGACCTTTCTGGCCCCTGTTTACTGGTACGTCACTTTCAATGTTCAACCGTACTTTCCCTAGGGAAATCTCTTCTGTTGATGTTTAGGTAGAGATGTTTAAGAGGTTTCAATATGAGAGGCGCCGCACAAACCTTTTGTTTTGCTCCATCTTCTATCGAGTAATGCAAGTGATGTTGCTGGTGTCTTATGCCCCTAGATTGTTGCCGACATGCAAGGAGCAGTGTTTGGTGGCATACTGGAATGCCCCTTAAAACCTACAGCGAAAAGGAAATATCAGGTGATCCATAGCATTCTTGATTCTGTTGTCTTTGTATTTGCAATCATATTCTTTTCGGTCTTGATTGAGATATTTTAGTCTTCTTTCTTGATTTGAAGCTCTTTTTTGTAATGGGTCCTTGTTTACTTGCAGGGGACAAACCAAACATTTGTATTCACAACCTTATATGGGCAACCAAGATTGTTTCGACCAACTGGTAAATTATGCAACTTGAATTTTACGTTTGCAGAGGTTGTTGGATAAGGATGTATTCACGGAAGAAATATCGTACTTTCTTATTGCCTTGAATAGTGGTCCTGTCTATGGTATAATTGATCATACTGATCTAAGTAAAAAGGACTTTAAAAGAACAAAATTATATTTGATATGCATTGAGTGGTTGACTCTTTAGCATCCTAGTTTCCTCAGGAGCTGAAGTTCTGAATTCAGCATTATCAAGATTTTAAAATTCTCTAGCTGAATAAGCTCTTGGAAACCTATTGATATGATTCAGTGTAGCTGCTTAAGAAAACCAGGGGGAGGGCTTCCAAGTCAATAGGCTGTTCTAATTTGCTTCAGTAGTGGCATCCACAATTCTTCTATGAGGGTTTGTTGCCTGACGCATGGAATCAAGGCAACGGATCTCTTATTCATACACTGAAAAGTACATTTATTGTGTCTCTGAGCATCAGTACACCCCTACCCCCCTTTGCCTTGAAGAAGCTACACCTTGTCCCCCCCTCATTGATCCACTATCACAGCTACAACGACAAGGACTAAATGTAGCGTCCAGTTCAGCGCTGAATCTTTATAAATCAAGTGAGTTTGAAGTTACTCAGTCAAACCTTGTCACATCATGGAGTGTCATTGGCTCAAGAAGTCGCAAAGTATTGGTTATATGAAGACAAGAGTGAACATGATCTACCCATATACAGTCTGTGGGGGGGGGGGGGGGGGGGGGTAATTTTTCTTGCTTAAGATTACCAAAGCAAGCAGATAGTTAAATTATGCATGGAAAAAAAAAGTTCTCTTAGCAATTTATGATCCTAAGGCATGTGGGAGTGGGGTAGCTAATAAGGTACTCACATTCAGGAGTACTACATCATATTGTGATCTCAGGACAAATTCCAACCCTATAAGGATAATAACTTCACGGGCTAAACTATCTTTCCTTCAACTGAAATTATCTGAATGTTTGGGATTCATGATGTTGAGTGTCATGACTCGATGGCATGACCTTGGTATTAAGAGATGGAAAAGTATATTAACGATAACTTCACGTGAAGATTTCCATGGTCCCCACTTAGACAGGATCCTTCTCTGAAACTGCATTGGCTAAATTTTTACACAGGATACACTGTCTCAGAAACTTCACTTTGTGATATGAAGTAAGATAATTGACCTGGTTTTCTTGATTAGGTGCCAATAGGTACTACTACATATGCATGAATGACTCACTTGCACTTGGCGGTGGAGGCAACTTTGCCTTGTCCTTAGATGGAGATCTGTAAGTTGTCATGTTTACAAATTTCCATTTTTCCAATATCGGAGTCAGGTCCATTTTAATCATCTTTTTTGTATCCTACTATGAAAAGGTTAAGTGGAACAAGTGGACCCTGTGAAACATTCGGGAACTCGTGTTTGGCTCACAACCCAGAGTTTGAGTTGAAGAATGTTGAGGTAACAAGCTAAAATCTCCATGCCTTCAATGACAATCACTTGATGTTGTCAGAGAGACTCCCTCAGATGAAGCATTTGATTTGATGCACGACCTGCAATTTGCGAAGGCTTTGAATTCATCTTTCAAATTGCGCTTTTCTGATAAGTTAGTTTTGTCTTAGGAGGTTGATGACCTTGGTGTATAAAGGTGCATGAATAATCTGTTGAACTCAGTGTGTGGAAAAATTAAAATTGAATTCATATTGATAAGACATCATGTTGATCCCGCTAATTAGATTGGCTATCTGCATGGAGTGGAATGCGCTATGAACCTTGTCTTGCTTTAGGTTTGACATTTTATGCGGGTCATGCCACCTTAAAGAACAAAGCTTTAACTAAATTGCAGGTTTCACATGTCATCTCTATTAGTGAAGATTAGCCTCTACCTTTCATATTATCAATCACATTGTCTCGTTTGTGGTGCAGTTATGGGGCTTCACTCACTCATCACGCTATACTACATGACTGGAAGTTGCAACCAGGCATGCTCGTGTCGTTCTCGACAAAGTTCATTCTTTTTTGTTTCATTTTTACCTTAATACATCCACATCTATCCTCAGAATTATCTGTAGCCATACTACCGATATTACGCCAGATAGGTCTATTTATTTTAGTTGGAGGCACCCTTCTAGATATGCGATGGGGCCAAACGGCTGATTGTGCCGGTCACTTAAGATTTATTCATGTTTAAACTCATTTCAACTCCAATTGAAGTTTGGTTGCAATTCTTGTAAAACTTCTGATTCGACCTCAACTTACATAAGCGTAAGGAATTTTTGCGGGTTCGCATGGTTGTTTCTGTTGTCTGTTTCCTTCATTGTGTGGATTAATATAGAGAAGAAAAGATGCGTTCCATGGTTTGATCATAGCGCAGAGTAATATGCCTTAGTGATTCTCGTATTGGCCAGAGGGAATTCCACTTGGAATCAGCAATTTGATGATAAACCATAGAACAAGAGACCCATAATTACAGCAAGGGTACTTTGAGGAGCATCTAACTCCAGGAACAGAACAGACGTTCAAGGTAAAACCAATGAGGTCGAAAGCTATCACAATGAATGCAAACTGTTGTATGGACATGAAGGTAAAATGGTGTCATTCAGGCTAATCCTTTCTTGCATTTACACGAACAACAAACTAACAAAAACACAAAAAGAGAAATTATGCACGTCTGGTAGATTCTGATTTACATCATGCGCGATGTAGCTATCACCAACTCTTTCGACAGATAATGTGCAGTGCACGGAATAGCAACATCACCAGCCTCTTTAATTGGAGACTACACCGCACTTTGATGCCAATAGTATGCTGATCAAGCTGTGCAAGTGCAGCCCAACTAGAGGATAGATCATTCCCGAAATCTTGTACAGCAATAAGTGTTCAAGAAAGCAAAATTCGAAAAGAGAAGGAAGACAAAAGGAGTGATAATCATGTTAGACATGAAGAGCCACTGATGTTAACTCCAGTTGTACAAGATGGTTCATCATCACATTCAGTTGGCACAAAAGCTTAAGTGCGCGAGTATCCACATTCTGATCAAGCCCAATGTAACTCAAACTCTGCTTGCACCGGAACCGCCAAGATAGGGAGAGACAAGAGTTTCTAAATAGATAGCATAATCAAAGTTACCGTCCCTCGCTATGGGATAATCCTTGTAAGTATTATCCTCCGGATTGAACAGAATCATCCGGTGGATATCCATCCCAAAGACTTATCTTTCCGCTCCTTGTGTACGCGAGGGGGCTCTTCGAAATGGGTCTATAAATGGGCTTATTCCAATTCATGAAGGCAGGGATGCAATCGACAGTGAACAATTTTGTCCACAATCCTCCTCCTCTCCCGTGCTCGACTGTTATCCATGCCTCGATGCGGGGACCAACATCGTAGCTGTATATGAAGAGACTGGTCCCATGAATCCCGAGTCCCTCGAGAACTATGTCCTCATCGACTTCAGGGACCGGAGTCTGCCGGTGGAATCTCTCTTCCGACAGATCAAACGACATAATCACACTCCCCGGTTTTAGGCTCTTGTCTTGGACGCACCAGTGCAAGGCCTTGTTCCAATAAACTCCCTGGTGGGAAACCAGGAGATGGCTTTCTGTCTCGAACTCAACTAGTATCCTTCTCCAAGAACCCAACTTGAGCAAAAATATCGCCACATCCCATTTTCCAAAGACGAGGCCCTCTACTACTTTGTAGTCATCAGATCGAGAGTCATATCCGAATCCATAGAATACCTCGTATTCTCCATCAGAACTGAAAATGGGCAACTCCCTATACTCCCTGGTGGTCGGGTTATATATCAGAAAAATCCCGCGGACGAGCAAAAATAGCAAAAGCCGTCGCAGGAGCCCATGACGCAGGGCTTCCAGGAAGGTTTGATCACATGAGGTACCACCACGCGGCGACCCTCGCCATCGCTGCCGTCGAGCGCCTCGTAGTCTACGGTCTCGAGGGGGCCGCAGCCTTCGCCGTCGGGCGCCTCGTCGTCTACGAGCTCGAAGGGGCTGAAGTGGCCGCCGATGATGATTCTCTGGCTAGGGATCAAATCCCCTGCCTTCAGCCCCTGCACGTGCGACTTGACGAAGCCCGGGTCGGAGATTAGGGACCGCCACCGTTTGCAGACGCACTTGAACTGCACCAGCGACTTGGCCGGCAGGCGCAAGAGTATGTCGATGATGATATCCTCGGTGAAACTTTCGGCCATTGTTTCGGCAAAAAAAAACCTGTTCATTGGCAGGTTTTGAGCGAAGGATCTCTGTTTCTAGGCTCGTGATGAACAAGTGTTCGGCAAAAGTCACGCAGCAGCAATTCTAAGGCGGAGAAGCTTACTCAGGGGATCTCGGAAGATGCCGATCGGGTCGGCAATGGCCGTCGGTTGGGTCTCTTCGAGTGGTCCAATGCCGTCGCCGGAGCAGGGCGGAGGGGGGTCTCGCCGGTGTGGGCGGCGGTCGTCGCGCGGCGGAGCCCGGCGGCTGGGCGGGCGGAGGGAGGAGGGAGCGGGCGGTGGTGCGATGTTATCAAATTCGAATGGGGCGTATTCACACTTTCCTGAATTCTGTGAAACCCAAGAAATTGGTACCATTGAACTTCTCAATGATTTACCTATTTATAGACGCTCTGTGAGTCTGTGTCAGCATTGCCCGTCATTCTTGTCCTCGTGCTCAAATTAATATTAATACTGAAAAGGCCTATGATTTAAGGATATATTTGATAATCATTATGTTTTTGAAAATAATTTTTATTTATAAATAAATTTTTTTATTCTATTCTCAAAAATAATTTCTAAGCATTTAAAAGCGTTTGGTAACGGTCTAAAATTTCCATTCCTACAATAAAAAAAAGAACAGAAATGCGTTTGGTAACTATACAAAATTTCTTTTTATTAATAATATTTTTAAATATTTCTTTATTTTTTTTCTTTTCTCTTTTTCTTCTTCTCCTTCTTGGCCATGGCCGGGACCGGCCACAGGCTAGGGCCAGCGAGGGCGACGCGGTCCTCATCGGCCACAGGCGAGGGCTGGACCCTCGCGACCTAGGTGAGGGCGGCCCTTGCTGGCCTTTTCCAGACCTCCCTCGAGCCGACGAGGGCCGCCCTCGCCTAGGCCACGAGCCTCGGGGGTGGCCCTCATCGGCTCGAGTGAGGGCTGGAAAAGTTTGGCGAGGGTCGCTCTCGTCCTCGCCGGTGAGGGGGACCCTTGTCTGTGGCCGGCGAGGGCCACGATGCCCTTGCCGGCCCTGGCTTGTGGCCGGTCGCCGACCACCGACCAAGAAAGAAAAAGAACAAAAAATCTCTTTTATTTCTGATTCTCGTTCCCATAATTAAGAATCAACCTTTTTTTACTATTGATTCTAAGAATAAATTTGTGCCCGAGAACAAAAAATTTACCAAACGAATTTTTATTCTTTTTTTGTTTCCGACAACAAAAGAATAGAATCAGTCATTATTTGGCAAGTTACCAAATATACCCTAAGCACTTGGTTTAGCTTAGTCATTAAGAAAAAACATTCATCAGGCATCACAAAGGTCGCGCACACACTTCCTCCTCTATTACTTTTTCTCATCTCTTTGTGAGCAGGGTGATGCATGATCTGTTACTTTGTTGTACATTCTAATTTCTGACTATTGACTGACTCAAGGTTTGTATACTCGATTTACTTGTTGTGTAGGCCAGGCCGAGTTCTATGGAACGACAGTCTCTCTCTTCGTACATTTCTAATGTCATTCCAATTGGCAGATTTGATGGACTCTCAGATCGAAGAAGTGCGAGCAGGATGTTGAATTATATCAATCACTTCCTGCCGAGTGCAATGATGAAAAGCCTGAATGGCAAGATGTATCTTTAGAAGTTTTTGTAAAATTTACTCTAGACAAAAAGCAAAGCAACAGCTGATAGCCATGAAAATTCAAAAAAAAAAAATGTGCTTCAGTCTGTGAGCACGGGAAATCGCTTAGTACGAATGAAGAAGATAAAGGAAGTACCAGTGGTTCTGACTTGTTTGAAAAGGCAACTGACAAGCATAGCCCAGACAAGCCTCTTCAAAATCTCCTGGACGATTCGTTTTATCTCTCCTGATCTATATGAATTTTTGCACTCAACCCTTCCAAATCTTGTGTAAGGTTGCCTCTGGGTCTTGCTATACAGGTCAGTCTCTTTGTCATCTTGCTGTAGATAGCCCTGACACGTTGTGCCGAGTGGTTCTCCCATATCTCTTTACCAAGCTAAAAGGTCTCGTATAAACTTTTGACACAAATGTCCATGTTTTGATAATTTTAATTTTTATAGTTATCGTTTTAAATGAAGGAGACATGGCATCTCACTGCGTACACTTATCCGCAAGAGTGCTGACCTTATTGGTCCCTGTTTTGCTGGTATGTCACTTCCGGATGTTCAGCCGTACTTGCCCTAGCGAAATCTCTTCGGTTGATGTTTAGGAAGAGAAGTTTAAGAGATTTTAATAAGAGAGGCGCCGCACAAACCTTTTGCTTTACTCCATCTTCTAGCAAGTAATGGCAAGTGATGACGCTGAATTCAGCATTAGTAAGATCTCAAAATCCTCCAGGTCAATAGACTATCCTATTCTAATTTGCTGCTATAGTGGCATCCAGAGTCGATGATGGTTTGTTTCCAGACACGCGGAATCAAGGCCAACAGAATTCATATTCATATGCCAAATTTACTCGTCTTTAAGCATTAGCTACAACAACAAAGACTAATCGTAGCATCCAGTTCAGTGGCTGAATCTTTATAAATTGTGAGCTCGAAAGTTAGTCAAACCTAGTCGCATCATGGAGTATCATTCTCAGAAGAGAGATCATCACTGGGAGACGTAACGCTGCATCTGGAGAGGGGCTTACTGCCATGATAGGGAGAAACGAGTTTCCAAATAGATAGCAGCAGATTCGATGTAGTCAGGTTGGACGGGATACTTCTTGCAAGTATTATCTTCCGGATTGAACAGAACCATCTCGTACAGACCATTCTGAAAGACGATTTTTCCGCTCCTCGTATAAGCGATAAGGAACTTCCTGTCAACGATCTGGTTTATGGGGGCCAAGATACTGAACAATTTTGTCCATGATCCTCATCCTTGTTGACACCTAATTTTTAACTCATTTTTTTCATATTTTCAAAAATCTCAAAATTAGGACTAGGAATCTTGGCCAAGCCTAAAAACCTACTTCTAAACCAAAAATAATCTTTTTATCATTTTCCTGCATTTTTCCTTAATTTC